AGTTAAGAACCCCTGAGCTAGGTTGTTGCTAAAAGCCCTTCCAGTCCAGATGTTCTCCCAGGCTCCGGCCTCCCAATATTAAGCCCAGTTCTCTTTTCCTGGGACCCCCACTCCTAGCCCTGGGCTGGGCAATGTTCTGGGCAGGGCTGAGATTCCCCTACATCCCCCAGGTGGTGGCTGTGGTGATGGATGTATTCACTGACATGGAGCTTCTGTGTGACCTCATGGAGGCCTCGAGCCGGCGTGGTGTCCCCGTCTACCTGCTTCTGGCTCAGGAGCACCTCAGGCACTTCCTGGACATGTGCTACAAGATGGACCTCGATGGGGGGCACCTGCCGGTCAGTGGGGGACAGGGGCAGTAACCAGGGGGTGGAGTAGGGAGTTGGGGAGGGCAGAAGAGTCAGTGGGGTGGTCAGTAAGCACTGGGGGTCCAGGGGAGTGGGCGACTGAGTTCCCTTAGGTGTTTAAGGTTCGAGACTGCATGGGATTTGGATAGGGCTTGAGCCCCATTCTCTCAGGGTCACCACCCAACCCCCCTCCGTCCTTGGTCCAGAATATGCGTGTGCGGAGCACGTGTGGGGACACATACTGCAGCAAGGCAGGCCGTCGCTTCGTGGGGCAGGCCCTGGAGAAGTTTGTTGTCATCGACTGCGAACAGGTGGTGGCAGGCAGCTACAGGTGAGCGTGTGGAACAGGGCAGAAAGGGGCCGGGGACTGTGCCACCGGCTGGTGAGGGCACCGGGGATCTGGCAGCTTGAACTGGCCTCCCTCCACCCGGCCCTTCCAGCGTGGACTGAGCAGCTACCGCGTGCCCGGCATTGTGCAGGGCGCCGGGGATGGTGTGGGGAGCAAGACAGCCCCAGGCTGGGCCCTGGAGGAGCTCATTCTGTGGAAGGATTGCTTGAATGCCTTTGGCATAGAAAATGACTGTTGCCCCTCAGAACGGGAGACTTCAGGGAATCTTGCCCCCAGTCCATTTTACAGACGGGCGGGTTGAGGCCCTGAGATGGGAAACCATGGGCCCAAGTCCTCTAAGCTGAGCTTGGATTAGCACAGACTCTGAAGTCAGAGCTCTGCACCCCTCCCCCCTCATTTGGGTCCTCAAGGTGGTGGAGTTGTCTTGATATGCCCCCCTGGTTGTGACCCCTGCCTAGCCCCAGGCTCCTGCACTTTGCCTTCTGACCCTGACCTTCTGCCCCCAGCTTCACCTGGCTTTGCAGCCAGGCCCACACTAGCATGGTGCTGCAGCTGAGAGGCCGCATCGTGGAAGACTTTGACCGGGAGTTCCGCTGTCTGTATGCGGAGTCTCGGCCTGTGGAGGGCTTCCGCGACGGCGAGGATCCCCTATCTCCCAGGGCACTGTGGCCCCCGCCAGCGGCCCTGGGCTTCAGGCCCCGTGTGCCAAGCCCCACATCCTCCTCACCCTCCAGCACCAGCTTCAGCAGCATCAAACGCTCACCTCTCATGGGCCACTCCTCTTACCTCGCTCCGCCGGGAGGTGGTGGCTGCAGTGACATGTGTATGGGGTCCTCATCCCTCGGCCCTGCCCACCGCGAGGCCAGTGGCCAGCCCTCCCCGCAGCGCCAGCTGTCAGACCCGAACCATGGCTCCCTGCTAGGGCCCTACAGGTCCAATCTAGGCAAGCTGGGCGCGTCCCCATGGTCCCAGTCCTCTCCTGCCCTCAATCACAATGGTGCCAGCCCCCTGACCCTAGCAGTGGGGTCGCTTCTGCTTGCTCGCCAAAGCCCCCTTCCCCCCTCTGCCAATGCTGTAGCCCTGTCCCGGCTCCCAGAGAATGGGCTCCTGGGAAGCCAGGAGTGTAGCCCCCAACGAAGTCGCTGGGTACCTGGCACAGCCCTGGAGGCAGTGGAGGAGAAGAAGGTGTCTCTGAGTCAGAGCCATAGCCAGTTGGATCTCCTTGTCCCCTTCCCCAGAGCCAGAGAAGCTGGAAGCCCTGATTCTGGGGTTAACCCCAACTCGGGCTCCCTCTGGCCTGGAGAGCAGGCTCCAGAGGACAGGAAGTTATCCCCAAACCAGAGATACAACCAGTTGGATCTCCTGCCCCAGACCCCGGGTGCTGGGGGTACCCCTGAGTCAGGTTCCCCCAGACCTGGCAATCGAACCCCAGAGGACAAGAGGCTGCCCTCAAACCACAGCCAACTGGACCTCCTGGTACAATACCCCAAGGCTGGGGGCTCCAGAGTGCCCCCTGAAGCCAGCTCCTCAGCCCGGGCTGGCAAGCAGCGTCAAGATGAGCGACGACGGACCCTGGGCCACAGCCAGCTGGACCTCATCACAAAGTTTGGCCCATTCCGGGGCGAGGGGCCTGGGCCCAATGGTCTCCCCAGACCAAGCCCTGCTCAAAAGGCTGGAGTGGGCTCTGGGGATGAGAAGCGGCTGACTCTGGGCCACAGCAAGCTGGACCTCATCACCAAGTATCATCAATTGCAGGGTGCCAGGCAAGGACCTGAGCCTGGCCTCCCTGGGGGCCCCACAGGGGGACATCTCAATGGCAGTAACAATGGCCTGTTTGGGGATGAGAAGCGGCTGACCCTGGGCCACAGCAAACTGGACCTCATCACTAAGTACAGCAAGTCCAAGTTCAAGCTGCTCCGAAGCCGCTTTGAGTCCTAGTCCTGCTCCCAGCAGGGACGTGTCCCTCTTCCATCTACTGAGACTCTAGATTTACCTAGGTTCCAGACTCTGGGGTGCTCCAGCAGGGGCTGCATGGGGAGCAGAGGGTGTCCAGAAGCCCAGGTTAGACACTCGCTGGGCTCAGGATTGTTTATGCACACACACACACATACACACACACACACACACAGAAATGGAACCCATAGTACCTGCCATTTGCCACTGTGCTGTGCACTTCACACTGGTTAATTCTCATCCTTCATCCTCACAATATCCTACAAGATAGACCTCTAGTAGGTATACATTTCTAAGGTCATAGATATTATCTTCCCTATTTTATAAATGTGGAAGCTGAGGCCCAGAATTTGATGGCTTGCTTGGAATCAGATCCAAGTCAATGGCAGAGCTAGGGCCCAAACCCATGTCTCTGACTCTTAAGATTGTGTTTTTGCACAGGGTACACTATTATCAACAGTTCACATGTCCCCATGCACACAAAATATGCACATCACAGAGATGCCCCAAATGCCTACACAATACACCAACAGGGTTCACATCCACAAACTGCACACCCATAGACACACAGTAAGTACACAGAGGTCCATGTGATAAACCCAAACACCCAGAATTCTAGTTATAGGTACTCAATAAATGTTATATGGCTAAATGAATGGCTACACAAAATATATGCATTCAGTGCACACTGTAGACCCCTCAGGATCCACAGATGATAAATATGCACATAACCACACACACACACATACACACACACACAGAGCCATGCACACACCAACCAGTATCTTCTTTGACCTAAGCTGTGTACCTGGCCCTGTACTGAGCATACCATAGGGCTGACAAGTGAATCAGACTCAGTCCCTGGGAGACAAGGAATAAATGCATAAACCATTGGGGGGCAAGACAGAACTATATCTAACTAAAGGCTAATTAGTGACAGGATGGTGGAGAAGGAAGGGCAGAGAGTGGTGGTGATGGTGGAGTGGTGAGCAGTTTCAAAGGAGGCAGCCTTCGAGCCAGGCGTTGAAGGATGGGGAGGATTGGACAGATGGAGGAAAGAGGAATTTCTGGTAGAAGGAAGCAGATGAAGAGAGGCCAGGGGGAGGACTGGAGGAGTGCGTCTGAGATGAGCTGGGGAGGATGTAGAGGGCATGGATACTCAGACTCTGACGCACGCACACACATCATTTTGCTGAGTGTCCCTGGAAGCACAGGCTTTGACAGGTTCTACATCCTTTTCCGGACCTCACCACCTGCCTGGGACAGTTGTCACGATACAAATCAATAAAGGCAGACATGCTATGACCCAGCAGCAGCCTGGTGTATTCTGAGAAAGGCGGAGTTATGGAACTGCATGTTGAGGGCTGGGAAAGGGCACCATTCAGTCCAATTATGGAGGGCTCCCTGAGGGAGAGTGGATGGCTGCAGAAGGGCTGGGGGCGGGCTGGGGGGGAGGGGTAGGACAGGGGCTCCAGGCCCCCTTTACCCTCATTGTGACATTCTTAGAGGCCCTGGGGCTTTTGTGGATTCTACAAAATGTAGATCAAGTTCCTCTCATCCATGAGATCAGGTCCCTTGATTGCCACCATTTATCTCGGGGGCAGGAAGTGGCTGCTGACTGAGTGATCAAGCACATGCAAGGGGCACACAGTGGCAGCCAGTCAGGACCCACACGGTTGCCCATCTGGACCCTCCCTAAGACGCGGTTTCATCCACCCTCGCCTCTCTCCAATACCTTCTTCAGCCTGGTTTCTTCTACTTCTCTGGCCACGTCTCCTTCTCCAGCCTTTGTCCTGGTCTCATTTCTCCCCACTGGACGCCTCCATGGGTGACTTCATCCACCCCAGGCTTCAGCCCCAAATCTCAGTCCTTCACTCTCCCCTGGGCTCCAGATCTGGCCTGGACGTCTGTCTCGCACCTCACGCTCGGCCTGTCACCTTCCTCACTCCTGCTCTTCCTCCTTAGGCTTTACTTCAGTAAATACCTCCATCATCAATTCTTCGTGTCTCTGCGAGACATCCCTGGCTCCTCCTCTCTTATGCCTCGCATCCAACCAGCCACAGGTCTCGGTCAATTGTATCTCCTAAAAAGCTCCTGAATGAATGAATGGATGGATGGATGGATGGCTGGCTGGATGGATGGATTGATGGATGGATGGACGGATGAATGAATGGATGGACGGACGGACGGATGGATGGATGGATGAATGAGAGCATGCTTGGGGCGGGGCCAGGTGGGATCCGGACCCGACCACTTGCAACCACGGAGTCCGCCAGAGGGTGGAGCTACGGTGGCCGCCTGCGTGGCGGGGTGCGCCGAGCGCTCCCGGAAGTCTCCCTGGGCGGAGGCGGAAACGGAAACCTACTTAGGGCCGAGTAGAAGCCTTCGCCGCGTGCGAAGGTTGCGGTCGATTGGTGAGCCTGTGTGGAGGGATACCGGAAGGGACAGGTCCGGGCTCCCCTCATCGTTAGTGGTAGGAGCCGGAGGATTCGGGGCTAGAGAGTCTAGAGAGGCCCAGTGGGCGGGACCCGAGATTTGAGGGGCCGAGAGGGGCGTGGTCGCAGCGTGGCCAGAGGGGCCGAGGCCGGCGAACCCGGACCCAGGGCCGGTAGAGGATCCTCGGGCCCTGAACTCCCGGTCCCGCAGCCCTTAGGCCTCATGGCGGTCCGAGCGTCTTTCGAGAACAACTGTGAGATCGGCTGCTTTGCCAAACTCACCAACACCTACTGCCTAGTGGCCATCGGAGGGTCGGAGAACTTCTACAGGTGCGGCGGGAGCCCCGGGGCCCGCGGGCAGTGGGGTGGCTGGATGGCGGGGAGGGTACTGGGAGTCGGGGGCTCTGGCAGAGTGAGGGCTCACGCCCCTCAGCCCCGTAACCACTGAATCCGTGTTCCTACAGTGTGTTCGAGGGTGAGCTCGCCGATACCATCCCAGTGGTGCACGCGTCCATCGCCGGCTGCCGCATCATCGGGCGCATGTGTGTGGGTAAGCCGGGTGGAAGACGCGGAGTGAGGGAGTGGAGCCGCCCAGAGCCTTTAATTGTAGCCTTGGAGGGAACCCCGACTGACCCTGGGATTTCCAGGCTTTCATCCACTATCTCCAGAGACTAGAGAATCTCTCAGGCCTGGGCCAGACCCAGTTAAAGTGTCAGCGGATCTGACACTGGCGAAGGCTTCGGGATCATAGAATAACAAATAACATTTAGTGCTTTCACTCTTACATTTGATTTCTTTCCTTCTTCACCCAGATACTGGCGGGTAGGCATTATTGCCTAACCTGACTAATGATGAAGCTAAGATCCAAAGAACCCAAGTGTCTCACCAGGTTCCACACCTAGTGTGAGGGAACACTGAAATGTCATCTCTCCCTTGCTACTGACTCTGGGCATGTTGCTTCCTCTTTCTGAGGATCCAGTTCTGCCACTACAAAATGACAAGCTAAGATTCTGGGTCATCCTATTCAGTTGTCCATTTAAATCGTAAATCCCCTTTACCATGTCTCTGAGTGGCATCCCCATCCTACGCCCCTACTTCCCATCACTGTTGAGTCTGGCCATTGGTCTTTTCTTGGAGCTGGATCTGTCTCACTGTCACCCCTTATTTCTTTACTATCACCCCTTCTTGCTAGTTCTGTTCATTGGAGCCATATGGGAGTTTGTTCTTTTATTTTTTTATCATAAGCCTGATGACCTTGGCCTCTGAGGATTTTCTTATTCAGGCCAAACACTCTCATCCCTACTCATGACCTTTGGACTTGATGCTGGGTGGTTTTTTAATAATGTGTGTAACTCCCAGAGTTCAGAAGTTCAGAATTGTGTTCTTGCAGTGGTAGGCGGAGATTTAGTTATTGTTGTCACAATATAATTGTAGTTTGTTCATTCTTATTGCATTTGGTGTAAGTATATACCACAGTATATTCAACCATTGTGTTGACAGTAGGCATTTGGGTAGTTTTTGGTTCGTTCTTTTGTTTGTTTGTTTGTTTTAAGAATTTTTATTTATTGGGTGCCTGGGTGGCTCAGTTGGTTGAGCGACTGCCTTCGGTTCAGGTCATGATCCTGGAGTCCCTGGATCGAGTCCCGCATCGGGCTCCCTGCTTGGCAGGGAGCCTGCTTCTCCCTCTGACTCTCTCCCCTCTCATGTGCTCTCTCTCTCTCATTCTCTCTCTCTCAAATAAATAAATAAAATCTTTAAAAAAAAAAAAAAGAATTTTTATTTATTTATTTAACACACAGAGAGAGAGAGCACAAGCAGGAGGAGTAGCAAGTAGAGGGAGAGGGAGAAGCAGGCTCCCTGCCGAGCAAGGAGCCAGATGTGGGGCTGAATCCCAGGGTCCTGGGATCATGACCTGAGCCAAAGGCAGTTGCTTAACCAACTGAGCCACCCAGGCGTCCCTGGTTAGTTCTATTATGAATAGTGTTGCTCTTTCAGTGAACACATGGACATGTTTCTTTTGGATATATAATACCTAGGAGAAGAATGCTTGGGTCACAGGGTATGTGAATATATGTAGCAGGTGATGCCAGATAATTATCTGAAGTGGTTGACCAATTTACACTCCTATTGGTTGTTCCATATATCTTTGCTGACACGTGGTATCGGCATTCTTTTAAAAATTTTAGCCTTCTGGTGTGTAGTGTTACCTCAGTTTTTAAGTGGCAAAATATACAACTAACGCCAAGAGTTCCTCTTGCTAGTCCTGGTCCCCCAGGGTTGATGATGGCAGAGTGGACGGGGTGTGTTGGGATAGATTCCTGGGCTATCTCTGGCCTACCCAGTGGGACTCCTGGTCCCCCTGGGTGTTGCATGGATCAGTAGGTTGGTGGGCTGGGTTTGGACCTAAACCTTTCCTGGGGAAGCTAACCGGGCTGGATTGTGTCTTCAGCCCCCTGAGCTTCGCAGGCATCTTGCCCCACCTCCTAATTTGGGTCTCTCTAGGGAACAGACATGGTCTCCTGGTGCCCAACAACACCACGGACCAGGAACTGCAGCACATTCGCAACTGCCTCCCAGACTCAGTGCAGATCCGGCGGGTGGAGGAGCGGCTCTCAGCCCTGGGCAATGTCACCACGTGCAACGACTATGTGGCTTTGGTCCACCCAGACCTGGACAGGGTAAAGTAGCCTGATTTGGCCCAGGAGTCACAGGACCAGCCTAGTCAGTGGTTAGTCACTGTTCTTGCCTATCAGGCAGGACTTAGGGGTGTCTCTTGTGTTTTCTCTTTATACTTGGGCTCTCTCGTGACAGGCATTCATTGGATAGTGGCAATAGAGGCCTTCCATGGTGTGGTCAGTGCAAGAAAGAAGCTGAGGAGGGTATTAATCCTTCAGAATCAGGGAGATGGACCCATCCTGTTCTGTAACCAGTGCCAGGAGGGATAATTGACAGTTGAACTCTTGAGTGTGGGTTAGAGGGAAGAGAGTGATGTGGAGACCAGTCTGTCTGCTCAGGGCATGCACAGATATTAGGGGCTCCGTAGCTGGTCTAGACTCTGCTCCAAGCTCTACTCCCTCCTTTTTCTGTGCGAAGCTTCCATATGCAGCTACATAGCAGAGGAATGAGGGGCCTAGGGAGCCAAGCCCTGGGTGGTTCTGGGCATGGAGGGCCCTGGGTTCCTTGACCTGCAAGTTCTGGGCTGAGTACCGTGCCTTTGGCTAACAGGAAACAGAAGAAATCCTGGCTGATGTGCTCAGGGTGGAAGTCTTCAGACAGACAGTGGCTGACCAGGTGCTAGTAGGAAGCTACTCTGTCTTCAGCAATCAGGGAGGCCTTGTACATCCCAAGACTTCAATCGAAGACCAAGATGAGCTGTCCTCTCTTCTTCAGGTCCCCCTTGTGGTAAGCGTTCCTTTCTCAGACCTCCACCTCCTGCTGAGGCAGATCCTTTGCCCAGTGTTAGGGATCGGAGTTATTACCCGTCACAGTTTGCAGTTGGGTTTGCAGGGCAGAGAGCAGGGTTTGGGGAACCTCCTCATCGGGGAGCAGCAAGACTTTGGCTTTTGGTGCCATGATCCACACTGAGCCATCCCTTGGCAGGCGGGCACTGTGAACCGAGGCAGCGAGGTGATTGCCGCGGGGATGGTGGTGAATGACTGGTGTGCCTTCTGTGGCCTGGACACAACCAGCACAGAGCTGTCAGTGGTGGAGAGTGTCTTCAAGCTGAACGAAGCCCAGCCGAGCACCATTGCTACCAGCATGCGGGATTCCCTCATCGACAGGTGTGTGGGCCTCTCTTCTGCCTTTGGAGGGTAGGGGAAGGAGAAGCCACCTAGAATGGGAGCCACACTGTGTTCATACCGGTGGGTTCTCCTCTTGTGGGAGGGCACACCTTCAGCGCTGCTGAGGAGTCACAGGGCACAGCCAGCAAGCATTGCCTGAGTATCTGCTTATCGCCGTCTCTGAAGGCTCAGCTCCGCAAAGCTTCCCTCTGGGCCATCTTATTTTCTCACCATGTTGTTCTGTTGTCTGTGGCTGCTTGTGTGTCCATGTCCCCAGCCAGCAGCCGAGAGCCTGAGATAAAAAGCTGTTTACAGAGTGAAGGAGGGGAAGCTGCTCTTAGGAACTGAGGAGACCCTAAGGGGCTTGTTGGGGGTGGGGTTGCATCAGAATCACAGTCATCTGGATTTTTATGGGTTTAAGAGAGAAGTGGGTTCTTGGGCCCTAACCCTGGAGAGTCTGGGGTGTGAGGCTCTGGAAGAGCAGCAGGTGTGGATATTCACCCTTCCCATGGAGGGTTCTTCTCAAGGCAGGCCACCCCCCAAGTATCACAGGAGTCTTTATGAGGATAGGAACCCCATAGTAGAGCAAGCACTCAATAACAGAGCCCCTGCTTACAACAGGCAAAATTACCCTTCATTCTCCTTTCTTCAATAATTCATTCACCTGATGTGCATTGAGCCCTGTTCCCTAAGTGTCTCAGGAAGCTCCAGTGAGACACTCTGGTATCCAGGAAGGTTTTGTGGAGGACACATCATTTAGTCTGGACCCCGGGGGAATGAGTAGGTATTTGAATATGCAGAGATGGAGGGGGGTGGGAGGGGTGGAGCACTTCTGACAGACCCCGAGATGGGAAAGTAAGGCGAGTGTGAAGGGGAAAGGTTGCATTGCCGGAGTGTCAAAGACCCTGAATGCCCACATCAAGAAGTTTTGACTGTAGGCCTGTGATTTTGACCTTTAGTCTCTGTTGAGCTGCTTGTTAATGTAGATTCCTGGCATCACCCCTCACTTACTGATTGCCTCGGTCTGGAGTGAGACCCAACCATGTGTGGTTTATTTTAATAAGTTTCTCTGGGTGATTCTGATGGGGAACCAGCATTGGGAGAGCAGTTGAAAGGGTCTGAATGGGAAAGTGGTACCAGTGGTTTTGTCATTTGTTCAATAACTTTTTTTTTGAACATCTACTATGCCAGTCATGATGGTGATGAGTAAAATACACCCTCCCTGCCCTTGTGGAACATAGACTCTTACAAAGAAGACAGTATGTACACAATCATTTAAATAAAGAACAAAATTTAAAACCTCTTAGCAGGGCGCCTGGGTGGCTCAGTTGGTTGAGCGACTGCCTTCGGCTCAGGTCATGATCCTGGAGTCCCTGGATCGAGTCCCGCATCGGGCTCCCT